AGCTAGGATCTTAGTGGAGGATTCACGAGGCACAGCGATTGGATCCAGGAATTCCTGCAATTAAAATGTATTTAATTTAACTGAAATGTCCTGAAATTATCTCTGAGGATGATGCAAAGTAGAATGGGAATTGCAGCGCCCTACCTGGATGTATGTTGCAATTTAATGCAGCAGCCCATCAGAACCTCCTTTGCATTTCAAATCCCCATTCTCCCCAGTGGAAGAGTCAAGCCTGTGCTCAATTCATGGGAAGGTTAAGGCCCTCGATAAGTTAGATCACCAAGGGCTGCTTCATTGTTCTTTAAAATATATATTTTTATAAAGATGGGGGTCTCAGCCCAGGCTGTTCTCCAACTCTTGGCCTCAAGCAATTCTCCTGCCTGGGCCTCCAAAAGTGCTGGGATTACAGGAGTGAACCACTGTGCCCAGTCAACTGCTCATTTAAACCATGCAAATTTTTTTAAAAATAGAGATAAACTGCATTATTTTTGCTTATATTCGTTATTACGTTCCACGCTTGAAATTAACCACAAACAACTTTGACATAATCTTTCTTTGCATCAAAATATGCTTAAGTCAATAATTTCTAAGTATCATGTAATTTCAAAGTCACTTTATGGGCGTTCTGAAGGTAACTAGACACAGTACTTTTTATTTTAAAATTGTAATCTATATTGGGTCTATTTTTTGTTTTCTGTTTCTTAATGTTCTATTAGATGTGGATAACAGAGTGTGGAAAATAGTCACCACATGACAATTGGGTTTATTTTCACCTAAAGAATAATTTTCCAGTATTTCTAACGTATTATCCCGGTAGAACTAAAGACTCACAGGGACACCCTTTTTTCATGTTTATAGAAAACCTAGTTTATACCTGCTATTGTCTTATGTACATTTTCATGTCACACAATTTTATCTCCAAACAACACCCTTATTTATATACAGTCTATAGTTTTCACTTTAGTAACACAGACAACAAAATATTAAACCTTTCATCTGGGTTACAATGTATGAAAGAAAAAAAATAAAAGGGAAAATCAGATTAAAAAATAAGTAATTTTACTACAATTGAACATAAACCATTAAATATATTGTTCAACACCATAAACTGAAAATAACATTTCCATAGCCTTTGGAGAAATGCCCTTCCAGTAAAACTGCCTAATCATATTTACTATGTAATAAACTTTTCCACAATTTTTCACTGAGTTAGTATAAAAATATCTTAGGCATTATAACTAAACAGGATTTCAAAAATATTTTCAACAGTTGTGTTATTTTTAATGAGTCCTATGGGTACAGCGGAAAAATAAATGTAGACTATTACTATGAAGAAAACTAGGGCGGGGCACAGTGGCTCACGCCTGTAATCCCAGCACTTTGGGAGGCAGAGGCAGGTGGATCACTTGAAGTCAGGCGTTCAAGACCAGCCTGGCCAACATGGTGAAACCCTGTCTCTACTAAAAATACAAAAATTAGCCAGGTGTGGTGGCACACACCTGTAGTCCCAACTACTTGGGAGGCTGAGGCAGGAGAATCACTTGAACCTGGGAGGTGGAGGTTGTAGTAAGCCGAGATCATGCGACTGCATTCCAGCCTGGGTGACAGAGCAAGCCTCCGTCTCAAAAAACAAAACAAAACAAACAAACAAAAAAGAAAACTGGGGTCTTCTCAAACCAAGAATTCAGGAGTTTCCACAGTAAGTAAGTCAGTGTACTAGAGTCAGTCTCCATTTTGTGATGTTGTACTACTAACACTTTTACAGCTCTGCACTTCCTCTTCCTGTTCTGCCCATTTGGTCAAACTGATCATGCTTGAGTGCTTCCTCCTTTGTCACTAGATGGACGTTCAAACCACACAAAGCTTCCTCTAGCCCAGCCCCACACCTTATCAACTATAACACACCAAGCAAATTGCTTATCTGGGCTCTCAAGCCATTTTTGGACCAGCTTTGGAAGTCTACCCAGCTTTCCCCAGAAACCCACATTATGTAATAAACAGTCTCATAACACTTCTCAACAAACTTTAGGTGAAATTCAATACAGTTCCAGTAGAGAGGTCACAAGTTCAAATTATCAAAATGTTATGAGGGTGAACATTCAAACTTTGTAGTTTATCTACCAGGAAAAAAAAATCTGAATGTGTTATGTTCATTCTTAAAATATATATATATATATATTAATTTCTCCAATTGCCACTGATCATTCCAAGGGTAAAAAAGAGATGTTGTTTTTATCCATATTCCCCACATTTTCTTTCCTAATGTCCTATTTTTACTATACTTGTATTTTCACTTCATGTACATCAAGATAAACGCCATAGGTGTTATTTGGCATGCAAGAAAGAGACATGCAAAAATATAATAATATAGTGCATACACATCAAGAGCAATGCAGACTGCAGGGCGTGAGAGTCTGAAATATCCTTTCTATGGGATTTTCATTACA